GACGGACATGGATTTTCTCTCCAGAGCAAGCCTCTTTCAGCGAGATACTCATCGAATTCGTCGTCGGTTTTGTTGGCTAGCTCCGGCCAGGTTTTGATTAGGTTAAAAGACTTTAAGTCTAATATAGCCGCAACGGCAGTCATAGCGAATATTAGAATACTAGCTAATAACAGCGAATAACAGCAAAAACAGCTAATAACAGCTAGCATTTTCGAGCTACAGTAATCTAAATTTAGAGTGAGCAAGAAATTTTGTAGTTCTCGAGGACGAAGAATGATTTTAAAATTCCATTTTCAGACTTTAAAAAGGAATTTTGAACAAACGTGGATCCCAGAAAACAAAAACTTCCGAGAAATGAGCGAAAAATCGGTAAAAAATACGAAAAACCGGTAAAAAAAATTTTTTAGAAGATTTTTTTTTGTGTTTTTAGATGGGAATTTGTCTAAAAAATAGGCTTAGGCTTCTTCGCCGCTCTTTTCTACCCCAGAGACACTAAATTAGCCTCAAAAAACGAAAAAAAAGTGGCCCCCCCCAACTACCTTAGCCCCGTTTTTTTTTCAATTTGAAAAGTTACATTGTTTTCGAAACTTGTCAATAAAATTTTGCTTTCGTTTTTCAAAACAAAGAAACCAGTTGTGGAACCTTTTCAGCTTTTTTTGTTTTGTTCCTTCGAACATTGTGTCTCCTCCTCTTTCATTTTATTAAAAACCGGAAGAAGAAAGGAGAAAACTTTTTAATTATTACTCATTTTTCTATTGAATTGACTCTTGGGTCAATCCATCCATCCCCATTCATAGGGGACGGTAATTAGACAGAAGGTGTCAGTAGAAGTTCCTTCTTCATTCACCTTCGATTCTTCCTCATGAAGCATACACTATTTGAATACTTAATACTGATTTTTCTCTTTATCAACACTATCTCTGCGTCTCTCAATATCCTATTCTATGTCCCTACCCTCTCCCACAGTCATATTTCATTCAACTCGAAGCTGGCCGAAGTTCTAGCCTCCCACGGCCACCGGGTTACTGTACTCCTTGCTCAGGTCGACGACACACTCCTCATCGACAATGCCACTGATTATACGGTACTTCGGAAGAAAGTAGGTGTGCCACGTGGCCATATGAGAAGAGTTTTGTGGAGTAATCCGGGTCCTTATGAGGATAGCTCTCCTCTGAATCCCCACATTTTTTACAAGCTGTTGAAGGTGTCACGGACGTTTGTGACGGCTTGTGAGAGTGAGTTTCTGGATAGACAGACACACAGATAGACCTAGAATTTTTAGACATGGCATTTGACAATTTGTTTTTGGAGAGTTTGATGGAGCAGAAGTTCGATGTGGGGTTGGTGGAACAGTATGATGCTTGTGGGTAGGTTCGGGAACTCTGGTGCAAAAAAATCCATCACGAAGACTACCGTAACCTAAAAATATTTTTGTTTTCCGAATTTATTTTCTCGATTTTTAAAAAATTTTAATTTTCCGTCTTGTTTGAGGGAGAAAAAAAAGGAAAAATCGAGAAAAAACTGGAAATAGAAATATTAATAGGCTACTGTAGTTGTCGTTGTGGGACCTATTCGAAAGAAGCGTGCGTCACTATGGCTCACTCGGCATGGGAATGCATGGGTTCAACTACCATGGGCGCACTTGTTCATTTTTGTTTTTTAACGTTTTTTACTGTTCAGAAAATCATGTAGATTCAAATAAAAATGAAGAAAAATTCAAAAAACTCCTTCATTGAGAAAAAAAACCTGGAAACACTGAAAAAAATCAAATAATACATTTTTGTGCCCTGGTTTTTAAAATGTAAATTTACAGAATTTTCTGCCAAAATGAAAAATAAAAAAATCCTACCGTACACCACCTATAAGAATTCCAGATTCGGAATCTTCAAATCCATTGGAATCGAGTCGACTGTCTGGCTGTCTGCCACTGCTATCTATCGACCTCAAGCGGAAGCAATGGGTGTCTATCTCCCCTACAGTTATGTTCCAGAACTCTTTGCTCACTTTTCCGATAAAATGAGTTTTGTTCAAAAAGTGATAAATGTGTTGATTGGACAGGCAACCTCGTTTGTGCTTGACATTTTTGTCCAGGGATTCCAGTCGAGAATATTCGGATTCGATGAGAATTTGGCGTCGATTTCCAAAGAATCGTCTGCAGTTCTAATCAATTCAGTCCCATTTTTTGACTACAGTATGCCAATGAGCCATCAATGTTCGAATATTGGAGGGATTACTGTAGATAAGAAAGGGGTGAAGAAACTGGATCCGGTGAGAGTGTTTTCTTAAATCCGAAAATAATAATCAAAAATTCAGTACTGGCAATCTGTCGCTGATTCCTCTGGGTTCATCCTGGTCAGTTTTGGTGGCATCGCTCGCACAGTCGATATGACGGTTTCAATGCAGAAAATATTTTTTGACAGCTTCAAAAAATTCCCTCATATAACTTTTATTGTCAAATACGAGTCTATTGCAAATGTCTCGATGCCGGAAAATGTTATTCTAACTCCATGGATCCCTCAACTTCCACTCATGGCTCACAAGAATTATAAAACGATTATCACTCATGGAGGATGGAGTAGTATTCTGGAGACTACTATGCATTCAACGCCAATGATTCTGATGCCGCTGTTCGCTGATCACGCCAAGAATTCGAAAGTTGCAGAGTCGAAAGGGGTCGCGGTTTTATTGGATAAAATGAGATTGAGCCAGAGGAGAGTGGTTCATGCCATCAACACGATTCTCACCAATCCGAGGTAGGTGAGACGTTTCTCGAGAAAAAACAGCTTTTTTCAAATAAGAAATCCCAAAATTCGTTCGCAAAATAACTTTTGCAAGTTTAGATTAATTAGGCCATCGACTTGTATGGTCTAGAACTTGTATGGCCTAGAAATGACCAGATATTTTCCTGATGGGTTTTCTAGGCTATTTAACATGTTGGCCTAGAAAACTCCACTTGAGAAAGTTAGGCCATCATGTTGAAATGGTCTAGGAAACTTATGAGGTGTTAGACCATACTGGGCTATCAACTACGATGGCCTAGAAAACTCATGTTGAGAAAGTTAGGCCACACTATTCCTCAGATTTCAGGTACACCCAAAACTGCGAAAAGTTCTCTCGAATGTTCTCTGACACTCCGATTTCCCATGAGAAACTGATTGCATGGAGAATCAGACAAGCAGCGAAACCATCTCGAAAAGCGTTCGCCAAACATCTTCGACCCAAGGAACCGGACTTTCATATGTTGAAAATTGTCTTGATTATTGTTCCAGCATATCTAGTGTTTTGTACAAACAAATTCTTATACGGGTGATTTTTAGTTGAATAAATTATTTTCCATATTCCTAAAATTTCTATATTTTCCCATCTTTTTATGTTGTCCTTTTTGAATGTGAATTTTGTATGTGAATCTACCCCCATTTGTTTCCCTTCGGGTTGTCACCTATTGTAAAAGGCAGTTGTCACTACGCGGTGAGCTCTTTTATTTTTATGCCAAGTACGGTTATTAATAGTTCTCCAGACAGCCTGGCACTGTGGATGACATGACAGGAGGAGAATGAGCGAGCGAGCAACGTGCACCACACATATGTGTGTCGTAGGGCACCATGAACCAGGTGGGGGGAGCAGAGGAAAATGTTTATATGTGAAGTTGTATCATACAATTTATATATTTCGTTTATAATAGAGAATGATTAACGAAATTATATCTTAAAATTAATCCAAAAAAATTAGGTCACGAAATAGAAATACGAGAAAATTAGGTTATGACCTAGAAAATCGGAAAAATTAAGAAATGTGACCTAAAAAACCAAAAATTAGGTAATGACCTAGAAGAGCCAACAAAATAAGTCACGACCTAGAAAACCCGGAAAATTAGGTCATGACCAAGAAAATCGAAAAAATTAGGTCTTGGCCTAGAAAATCGAAAAAATTAGGTCATGACCTACAAAACCCCAAAAATTAGGTCATCACATAAAAATCCAAAAATTAGGTCACGACCTAGAAAAACTAGAAAATTAGGTTATGACCTAGAAAAATCGAAAAATTAGGTCACGACCTAAAAAATCCAATAAATTAGTTCATGACCTAGAAACCCCAGAAAATTAGGTCATGACCTAGAAAAATCGAAAAATTAGGCCATGAACTGGTAAATCCAAAAAAGAGCGTGACCTAAAAAATTCAAAAATTAGATCATTACCTAGAAATCCAAAAGTTAAGCCTTGACCAAGAAAACCCAAACGGGGTTCGAACTAACGTTGTATGCTGTTTCACTCTAATGAGGAGGTGATGTGTTAAAGTTTTAGGCGGATGGGAAAAAAACAAAATGATTGGGAGCAAGAATATACAATCTCGGTGCAATCATCGCCCCAGGCGAAAATAAATGTACAGCTGACACGCCATTTTCAATTATATGTAGTGCAAGCGCATAACACCACAGCATAACACCACAGAGTTCGATTCCTGTGAATCTCGCTCTCAAAACTTAATTCTGCTAGGATTTTTGAAATCACGCAATACTGAAAATTGCAGATATACTATAATTTTCTGAGTTCATAGAACATCATTTTTGTTTGCGAGGCTCTCATCTGTCACGTCTTCTCCTATCCATCTCTAAATTGTTGCTTTTTTGCCAGTTGCTCGGAAAAAAGGGGGAAAAGATTCCGATACTAATATGTTTGGACTAGGGTTCTGCTGGCGTAAGTACGGTAGGCAGACAGTATGCCTCGCCCATTGCCACCATAGACGATTGACCTTGATCATCTTTTCATTCACTTGCCCTTCCTAGCACATTCTCTCTTCCTTTAAAATCAATAACCTCCCAGACATCCTAAGACGTCCTAGACCACCAAGAAGACCTCCTATCAATTCAAAATAATTTTCTAGATGTCTTCTGCTCAATGTTGGTACGATAAGCTCAACGACGCACAGAAAAAACGTTTCGCAAGATGGGTAGGATGGCTGACAACGAATAAATTGAACTCTATCGACAAGAAGATGTTATCAGAGGATTTGGAAACAGTGAAAGAGAAAGAGGTAAGAAAGATGAAGGTTCCCAAACCCGCGAAAGTGCAAAAATATAAAATCTTCCAGGAAGCATGCCTTGCTCTGTTTTGCGAGGGATTCGAACACTACTTGACGCGTCCCGAGTTTCGTTCCTTCTCAGCCAGAGACTGTTATGCTTATACTATCCAGCGTTTTGAGGTAAGAATCCTTATTTTTGTATCATTACACATATGTGTTTCAGTTTCTTTCTCCTGCTTTACTGGCACTTATCAGCGAGAAATGGACCATCACTGATGATCGCTGGACGCGATTGATAGGCTCCCAAGAAGAGTGCGATAGAAAACTGCGAGTCATTAGTGTGATTTGTGAGGCAACTTGTGTAAGTTAGCTTACTTAAGCTTCAAAGTTGATCGATCACTCAAAAATAAACAAATGTTTAGAAAAAGGAGATAATGAGCTGCGATCAATGGATGGCTTATCTACTTCAAAAAACAGAGGATATGATGGTAGACTTTGCACGAGTTTGTAGTGATAAGGAGCAACTTGAAATTGTGGTTGTGGAAGAGGAAAAACTTGAGGATAAACCCATTACAGTGTCTGTGTCTTCTCAGCGGAAGAGGCAACTCGATGATAATGTATGTTCTTATAAAAAGCGAAAAACTAATTCAGTGATATTTTCAGGTGGCTACTGGAAGCCAGACCAAAGCAAAACAGGCTCCAGCTTCTCCTGTTCGGGTTTCAGCTCCGGTTTCCGTGAATGCAGGGCAATCAGGATTCATTTCAGCTCTAACTTTGCCAGCTCAAGGAGCAGCAGCAATTGCTCATCCCCAGCCTATTCATGTTAATGCAGGAAGACCTCCAGGATTCGTTCAAGGCTTTATTCCACAAATGCCACCACCCACGTTCCCATTACGTTATCCCATGCCGTGGTCATTTGGATATCCATCTCAATTTTTTGGAATTCCACAGCCAGTGGCTCAAAACATCGGGTACCCATTGCCATTGATGCCCCAGTTCTTGCCCCAATTCCCACCCCAGAATAACTTCCAGCCATAGAGTCCAGACCTTTCCTGACTGTGACTTCCCGATTGTGTTTTTGTTATCTTATATTTTTTCGTTCCCTGATCTCCATATATGTTTTTAAATCATGTCCATATTTTTATCACTTGAATTTGCTGTCTGTTAATTTTGTCAGTTTTGTCGTTTCTATGTATACACAAGTGTGGGTATGTCAAACTTCCATCTATAAATTACGGTGATCAAATCTGCAATGCAAAATTACCAATTCATCATCTGTTTGTTTACACAGATGATGTTTAGTGAAAGGTCCAAAATGAGGGAATCATCGGAGGTGCAACCGGTTACAGGTTATAGGTAGGGTGATATCTAGAATGCCAGTGAGGTGGCAGTGAGATAAAGTGAGATAGAGAGCAAAATGGATCTGTGAGTTGAGAGAGGGATGGGATAGATTGTTAGCCGGAAATTCGAAAATCGGAATCTCCACTGACGTTATTCTCTTCTTGGCGGTCGGCTTGTAACTTCTGGTCAAAAGATTAGGGACGCTCGGTATGTCGACGGATATTGGCCTTGTTCAGGTCGGGAATGACTACAAGGTCGGAACCATGTCAAACCCCTGTCAGCGTTCGGACGGTTGATAGCGGTATTATCTGCAATCTGACCAACCTGCTTGATTTCACCTCCCACACCACCAACCAAATGATGCCCTAGTTCAAAACGAAGAATGCTCCCAATGGCCACCTGTCCGCACCAATAATATTTTCTGTATGACTCCTAGGCGGAAAGATATGAAACAACACGCGGCCACTAATACCGATGGTTTAGAAGAATTGATGCCCCCCCTCTGATGCAACCTTTTGGCGTGTTACGACATACAGATGGTGTGCTCCGCCCACTGCCTAGGAACACCCACCTTGTGTGTTCTTATGGTCATCCGTTGCATACTCCCCAAAACTTGTTAGCTCTTCTTTATCATACTCCGAAAATGGCAGTTACGACAAAATGAGTGCTTACGAATACACAGACTTCTCTGTCTGGCTTCAATATCTAATGGACACTGAACTTTCCCCGATTCTGCCACCTCCGGATAATGAGGTTCCAAGTGAAAAAAAAGAGGTGAGCCAAACGTTTGCAGTCTATACCCAAGTGGTTTCCTTCCAGACTCCATCAAATATTTTTCTTCTTCTGGTGTTCCATTGCCGTTTCTCGGTGAGAATTGGACTATCACAGACAAGCGTCACACAGAATTTATTGGTCGGAGACCTCGAGAATATTGGAGTACTGTAGAGGGTAATCTTCGGATGATCTGCAACATTTGTCAGGTGACTTGTGTAAGTTGCGTTTAAGTCTTCCATTTCGCTCGGTCGGAAATTGGCGACCGCCGACCGGCTCGGTCGGCTGTCAGTCGGCTAGGCCGGCGGTCGGTCGCGCGGTCGCCGGTTCTCTACCAACCGAAATGGAAGCCTAACTTGACTCCGGCAATATAGAATAATAAAGTTGGGTTTACAGAAGGAGAAGGAATTGAATAACGATCAACGGATCAATTACATTCTATGTCGAACTAAAGAAATGGTCATAGATTTTGCAAGATCTTGTGGTTGTGATGGAGGCAAACTCATATCGATTTCTGAATCCATATCAGAAAGAGCTGAAGAAAAAATGGATAAGGGCCTAGAAGGATCAGACGCTACAAACGCCGACGACAATAATATGAGCTTTATGAGGGAATCTCCAGAAACACCAGCTTTCGATATCCAACGTTTCGTAGAAACAATGGTGACTGTTCCCAGCCCAGCTGAACCAGCTATTGATTCATTTCACCATTCGAACGTTGCCAACAGATTGGATGCTATGCCTTCCCCAGTAGATATTCAGATGCTTTCTCCTAGACCAGATTCTCCAAACTCATCTACCTCGTCATTGGAACTCGCTGACACAGAATACAATACGACGCTTGACTTCTCAATGACCTCAACTCCATATTACCGGGGACCAATTGTCCCAGTGGTTCCCATGATGTCTCCAATGTACCCTGCACTCATCTCACCAGTCTACCCGGTACACACTACTGCTCATTCTTTTATTGCATCTCCAGTATTTCCCATGCCCATGGGATTCAGTCCAGTATACCCAGGTCCAGTATATCCTATGTTTCCGCATCTGTATCCTACCGTTTTCCATCAGTGATACCTTAAAAGAAAGCCCACCTCCCCCTCTTCCAACTTTCAGCGTTTATATCTCATTTCCTGTAAAATGTATCAAAAAGTTATCAACTGATAAAATGTGCATCATAACATCAGTAACATTTTATAAATTGGTCACTTTTAATATCTTTCACAGAAATAGATAAATTGGCCTAAAGCCTATATTTTTTACTATGTCTCAATCTTTATTTTACAATAATTCCTCATCAAAAATCTTTATCAAAAGCATAATTTTTATTTTGTCAATCTTCTGTCAATTGTTTTTTGTCCTAGTTCTGTTTAAAAAATGTTGTTGTACTGTTTTCCTGACCCACTCCAAAATTCGCTTTTGTGATCCCTTCACAGTTTCCATATGATCTTTGATGAATTTTGATTGCTCAGCCTAGATTCACAGCTAGTCCACAACATTGGGGTCTTCAGAAGCTTCGATTTTCAGTTTAAAAATTAAAAATCTCGAAAATTCAAAAATTCAAAAATTCAAAAATTCAAAAATTCAAAAATTCAAAAATTCAAAAATTCAAAAATTCAAAAATTCAAAAATTCAAAAATTCAAAAATTCAAAAATTCAAAAATTCAAAAATTTGGAAATTCGGAAATTCAGAAATTCAGAAATTTCGAAAATCATGAAATTAAACATTAAAAAATTCGAAAGTTCAAAAATTCAAAAATTCAAAAATTCAAAAATTCAAAAATTCAAAAATTCAAAAATTCAAAAATTCAAAAATTCAAAAATTCAAAAATTCAAAAATTCAAAAATTCAAAAATTCAAAAATTCAAAAATTCAAAAATTCAGAAATTCGGAAATTCAGAAATTCGGAAATTCAGAAATTCAAAAATTCAAAAATTCAAAAATTCAAAAATTCAAAAATTCAAAAATTCAAAAATTCAGAAATTCGGAAATTCAGAAATTCGGAAATTCA